CCGATCCAGATCCATGGCATGCATGATCTTATATGCAGTGCTGTGAGAGACACATGTCTGTACCAATGATGTGCCTTTTGCGTTATTGAACTCAATGTTGCTCGACATGCAAAATCTGTCAACCGTGCTGTCTCCTTCCTTTTTCTACTCTCTCCTCCTTTTTTTTTTTTTTTTTTTTTTTTTTTAAACATTTCTAACTAGTAATAGTATTCCTGCCTGTGTTCGATATTGCTCTCTGATGAAATAAATAAATAATATATTTTTAAAAAAAAAAAAGCATCGCAGGCTCCGTTGTTATGATAAGTTTTCAGGCTTCTAGTGTGTCCATTTCCAGAAGCGCATGATCGTCGTACCAAATTGATATCTGTTCTATTGTTGAATATGTCGAAATTTGATATTTCTCTTCTTACGAAACCATCTGCTGACATCTCATTGCAAACAAACAAATAGTTGATAATAACCTACCCATCAAATGTTTATGGCTTTGCTTCTACCCCTTTATGTTCACAATTTCAAAATGGGTGCCAACCTACAATGACGGGAAACAGAGAGCGTCTCCCCATGTAAGGAGGCTGCCAATTGGGAGAGGCACTCCCAACGCTTGAAATATATAAATTAAGGGATCATTGTCCATAAAAAAAAAAATCTACTGCTACCTAAACCTGATCGCGATCAATCTATATTTTCTTCTCTCCCATCCTCTTCTCAAGAAGTCTGAACATCATTTGTCAACTGTTGCATGCGCATTTCTTGTCTGGTTGGACATTACATCGCTGCATTTATTACTCATCTCCGTTGCTAATTGGTCAATTACTGCTTCATATCTCCTTTTTCTCTCTTTCTCTTTCGCTTATAACCTCAGTCTCTCTTCCATTTCACAATATCGTGCCCTTCATCAATTCTTCTGATCATCTCTTTCTCTTCTTCTCTCTTTTGAGCTTATCGACGATATATACGACATACATTCATAACTTTTAACAGCTACGAAGTATTCAAAACAACCGAGACTAAGACGTCTCTTAAGGATAGGAATTTTGATATATTTACGAAACCCAACGCGCCTATTTTTTTTTTTTTTTTTTACTTTCGGAGATAAAACGTCTGTATTTCAGCATCTCCAAAAGGTAAGATAAGCGCGTTTTTATTCCTCCTTCCTAGGATTTAAAAAAGGTATAAAAGATATAAACCAAAGGCTCTCTGCGACTACCATTTACTCATTCATAGCTCCATCTTTCCTCCCTTTTTTTTTTTCCATTTTTTATATCCTATCCTCACTCATCTCATCTGTCATCTGTGTAATCTTATTACCACATCAACTTGGCCTTTCCTTTTCTTGCATAAATGCATGTTGTACACGTAAAAAAAAAAAAACCAAATCATCTGCACTATTGCGCATAATTTCGTTGCACATTTCATATTTTTTTTCCGTTACATTCTTTTTTTTTCGTGTCACAGCAAAACTTCCTCCCTCTTTCACGAGTCATAATCACAAAAGAAAAATGTCCGTGCACGCGCACCGAAGCTCCAAGATCGTATCAGATGCCCTGATTCACCCTGGTCATCCCTGTCAAAAGCAATCTAACTCGCATGCAGCTTCAATGGCGACAACGATAACGGAAACAACATCAGCAACGTCAAGGGTTTCGATCAAGTCACTCTCTTTGAAAGATTTTTTATCACCTGAAACTCGAGCTGGTTTCTTGATCGAAATGCGTGAGTCCTTGATGGAGATCGGTACATTTTACATCAAGGACCATGGGATCCCTCCGGAGCTAACGGCTAGCGCTATGAAGGTTATCCAACAGTACTTTGCTTTGCCGCTCAATGAGAAGAAGAAGATGTTGATTGGCAACAGCCGTCACTTCCGAGGTTACAAACTTATCGGTATGCCCTCTCTCAATGTTTTTTATTTTTATTTTTATTTTTTCCTTTAACCATAAAGGGATATGATACTTGCGTTTGGTTTTTTTATTCTGACTCGGTATCTTTCATAATAAAATATTTGAATCCTTGTAGGCCAAGAGTTTACCAATGATCAGGTAGATCATCGTGAGCAGCTTCAATTTGGGCCTGAACGACCTGTGATCGAATCCTTCAAGCCGACCATCTCACCTGACTATGAAGGTCTACAAGGTCCTAATCAATGGCCCGCAAGTACGTTAGCTTGCCTTCCAGATTTTAAATCCTGCGTCCTTGAATTCATGAATCAACTCGAGATCCTTTCTCAGAATTTAATGGAAGCTATTGCGCTTTCGTTGGGTTTGGAGGATGCATCTTATTTCCGAACCCTCTTTGGAGAACAACCTTACTATCGCCTCAAATGTGCAAAATATCCTTCGGTTGATAAGCCCAAGACCATCGGTTGTGGAGCTCATAAAGACACGGGATTTTGACAGTGCTTTTACAAGACATGGTCGGTGGTCTACAAGGTCAAGATCCTGTCACAGGTCAATGGATGGATACTCGTCCAATACAGGATACATTCATTGTCACATTGGGTGAATCGATGGAGAAGCTGACCGGCGGGTTGTACCATGCTACTGTACATCGTGTGTTGAATAACACCTCGGGTCAGGATCGTTACAGCATCCCCTTTTTTTATGATCCGGCCTTGGATGTAAAGGTTCCTCATTACATCCCAGGTCTGGATTCGACGGGATCAAAAAAGCAGTCTTTGAAAAATTCTCGGTCTACTACCAGTATGTCTGTCTTTGCCTCGGATGCAGAGACAGGCCCAAGTTCAGATGATGACGATTTGGAGAGATTGATGGACACACTAGATATCAATCATACCTCTTCTTCCTTCATCAGTAGCCCTGAAGGTTGGAGTAACGGTGATCATATCTTTGAGACCGTTCACAAATGTCATCCTGAAGTCTACACCCGCTGTATGGACAAGGAGCTTAAAATCCTGTCATAACCTGCATCGCCTCATGACCAATCATAGTCACTCTGCATGCTACCCAGAGAAACATGATATGGTCCGCCTTTATATTCCAAGCATATTAGTTATATACCTTATCATTTAGCATTTGAATCAAATATATGAAAAAACACACCATTGACCGAAATAGGGCATTTATTTTGGACATTTTTATGGATTGTTGGAATGATTGACAGTACCACCATGAAGCGTAAACAAGGCATTTTATTTTGATTCGATTTAAACCTTGAAGCCGCGGGAGGCACGACGACCACGAGCCTTCTCGAACTTACGACCCTTGCTCTGGACATAGGGCTTGGCATGCTTGCCAGGACCCATGCCAAAGTGCTTGACGGCCTCACGGGTGTTCTTCTTGCCACGGAGCAAGACGGTGTTAGCACCAGTGGGGGCACGGAGGGCGAGCTGATCGAGGGTGATGACCTCACCACCAGCCTTCAAGACACGAGCCTTGGCCGACTTGGTGATGCGCAAGCAGGCGATCGACAACTTGGGGACCTCCAACAGACGGATGTCATCAGTCACGGAGCCAACGACGACAGCAGTCTTGCCTCCCTTTCCTGCCATGTTACGAGCAATGCGGGAGATGGACATGGGGGACGGTTGACGCGCGACATAAAGAGACGCTTCAAGACGACCTTGTTGAAGGCAGAGTCCGTACGGCGGGCAAGGAATCTGTAGAGCTATTATCGAGTTTGCAGCGAAGAAAAAAAAGCATGTCAGAGGAAATTTCATGTAGTTACGACTCCACTGTTTTAAAAACAGTGTGAAAATTTTTGCGATGCCGCTGAATAACATCAATGTATTAAAGAAATACTGGTTGTTTCCTTGACGAGTATCTTTAAGTTGGCTGTTGAGTGTTAAATACTGGGACTGATAGGGTTGTTTTACTAATATTTATAAAAAGGGTTTGCACTGCATGAAAGCTAATCCTGAAACATTGTTCTGTAATAAGATTGAGGATGCTGAACTCTCCTGAATCAGTAATTTACAGTCGAAGTTTAATTCCTCTGTCTGGATGATGTCGCTTTGGTATGCCTTAAAACTTTTTTTTTTTTTTTTTTTTTGATTGGGCGAACATCTTCGAAAAAGGATATGATCGTTGCCTTATATCTCTGCGCTCCAGAATCATAACAAATGTGACGTGTAGAGGTCGTTTGATATATGATAGTCTCTCCAGCTCGAGAAACTCAAAAAAAAAAAAAAAAAGCTGCTTCATACCTTGACGAGCAACAACAAGTAAACGTCTCCAGACTTGGGAGCCTGGCGGTTCTTGTTGCGAACTGGTGCTTCTTAATGTCAATACCCTATCAATTATAATCAATTGGATAAACATAAAAAAAGAGAGAGTATCCTGATTAGCCTTTCAAGATCATAGCCCATCACTATTTATTGAAGTTGTTCCCAAGATTATCCCTGGCGAATGGGTAGATCTGCATAGCTTCTTCCTGGATTTTTAAAAAATCGTGTCGATTGATGTAGTCCTTTGATTCTTTTTATGTTGTTGTATGTACAAGGTGTTTTATCTTGTTTTATTGATTCAGCACTGCTGCATTGGCAATCAAAGTAAGCCAAGTTTGGTCAAAATCTTTGAATAGTAATCCAGACAAACTGAAGGAAGATACTCTAGTGTTGATCCCTCATCTGAACAGATCTTTGTTGCAGGGCTCATTTTTCTGCAAAAGCTTGCATTCCATTGTAACGTCTATAATGCCCTTCTAAGCATTTGATGGAAGGTAAATAAAAAAAGAGAATGGGATCATGCAAGATGTCGACGGAAGTTGCAAAATCAAAGTTCCAGAACATGTCTCTGAAAAAAGACTAGGCAAAAAGCCATCTCGAGTCGTTTTATTGAGATATGTGATCGATGGTTGGCAAATATTGCTGGATGTGCCTATGGATGTAATTATTTGCCATTGATAGAGCTCTCTATAATGAATGGATGGGTGACTGCTAACCATTTTGAAGTTGAACTGGTTCAGAGAAGGAATCAAATGCACTGCACTTTGTGCTCAATAATAAATTCGTCTCCTTCAGTGACACCCTTAAGTCACTCCAATCCATTTCTAATGACACAAATTTTATTCTGTAATGTATTTTATATTTATATTTTTTGCCTTTGACGATAAATCAGGATATCCTCGTTAACAGATCAGCAACAGCAACCATCTGATCTTGTGACATTCATGATAAATGCCAGTTGTTCAAAAATTACTATTGTGTGGCCGCGGGTCATGGGCTTTTAAATTCTCTATTTCGGATCAAAATTGACGCGATCACGAAGATATTCTAGTAGATGATAAAGCAAAAAGCCAAAGTATTAGCAAAAGCAAACATTTAAAATGGATTTCAATATAAAAGTCAGTGTTAACTGTAGTATACATACAGGCAGTAGCCTCAATCTCGGTAACCTTCACAGGAGTAGCCTCGGTCTCGGTATTGTCAGACGAGGTCAACTTAGCAATACGCTCCTCTGCCTTGCGCTTATTCTCCTCAGTTGCCTTTGCTTGGTTGGCCTTGAAGTATTCTTTCTTCTCAGTCAAAGCATCCAAGGTCTTTCCAAGGTCAGCTGGCGAGGTAGGAACAACGACTTTTAATTCAAACTATTGAATATTGAAAATGACGGTGCAGTGTTAGAAAAGGACCATTCTGAGAAGCCAAACCAGAAAAATAATATGTAATTATAGGTAGCATATAGAATTAATACCAATTGTTCAAGAATAGCGAGAGGAAGCTTGAAAAGTTGCCACTCTCGGTTTTCTTCTCCTTAGGACCCTTGTTCTTCTTTGATTTTCCAACAAAGAATACTTCCTCTTCCTTGTCAGCCTTTTTCTTGAGCATCACACCGCTAGGAACATTAGTGGTAGTATCGGCCTGGCGAATATTGAGAGTGCTAGCCTCAGAGGGAGCAGCAACAGCCGCTTCAGCAATGCGTTTCTCGTCATTGCTGAACTGGAGCAAGTATCTGTAGACACTGTCGCAAAGAGTAATTTCATTAGTGTAAGCAGGAATCTCTGCAAGCTCGCGTTCCTCCTTGGCAATGGCAAGGCGCTCTCCTCTTGCTCTTGTTGTTTCTTGGCCTGGTACTCTTCACGCTTGCGAACCTGCTCCTCTTGCTGGAACTTCTGATACTCGCGGAGAGCAGCAAAGTACTCATCATTCACAGTCTTCTTGCGTTGGTACTCAGCGTCAAGCTCCTTCTGTAGACGGGTGCGTTCATCAAATAGATCGTTGCGCTTTTTCATGCCTTCTTCCTTGACTTTATTGATTTCATCCAATTCAGCCTGGATCTTGTCGATTGCATCAAAGCTTTTGAAGTCTGATAATCAATTGTTCCCTTAAGCTCAGCGATTCAGCCTTATCAGCATCAATAGCTGCCTGCTGCACTTGAACAGCCTCAACAGTTTTCTTGGTCTTCTTTAAACTCGAGATCTCGGATAAGACACGCTTCTCTCGACCAACTTGAGTGATCCAGATTCGACTTGTTTTTCAAGCTTACTGTTAATTCGACAGTCAAAACAGTTTGTTGTTAGAGAATTTAGGACGTCAGAACAAATATTAAGGTAGAAACGAACACTAGGCTCCAGAGCTTGAACTCACATAATCTGAGCATCAACAGCTTCCTGGGTCTTAAAAGGGAGCTTGTCCTGAGTGACTTTCAAGTCTGCGATCTAGAAATAGACCTCAATAGGGTTTAGTAAAATTTATCACCTTCCGACTAATGCGTATCCGCTACTGTGGATCAGATCCGGGAACGCGGACCCTCTTCAATTTGAATAGAGCTGTAAAAATGAAACTCACCTTCTTCTTCAAAGAGTTCTCCAAGGCAGTGAGCTGATCGAGCTTGGCTTGTTTATCCTTCTGTTTCTGGCCTGCTGAGCACGGAGCTCGTTCAGACGTTTGCGAAGAGGAGTTCTAGGATCAGAATCAGACTTGTCATTCAATCCGGCAATGGCATCACGGACAGCATTCTAAGAAATCACGAAGTACCAAAAGAAGTATGAGAAAAGATGTTAGAGATGAGATTCAGAATCAGCCATTCCCAAGTGTCAATGAGTATAATCTGGGTTTCTTTGCTTTAATACTCGCCCAAAGTGAATCTTAAACAGATAGTTCATTGCTCACTTTATTAGAATGGGTGGTCCATCAAGTTGCGGGATTGGCACTTACCAGACGAGGACGGATCTTTTCAATGTTGGCCTCAATCTCTTTGATGGTTTCATTCTTTTCATCCTGGCTTGGCTTCTTGACAAAGTGACGGCTAGTCTTGTGAGTTGTTGCTGGCGCGGCAGGTGTGGAAGCAGTGACAGACATTATGTGCAAATGGATTAAAAGATGAGAGAAAAGGGTTAGAGGGATGAAAGAGAGAGGAGAGAAATGATGAGAATGTTGGCATTTTACATACCCGTATGGGGAGGAATTTTCCACTCGCCACGCTGTCCAATCAGCGTGAAGGACATGTTACAAGCGGTGCCTGATGCTCTCATTCATTTTTCAATTCGATCTTCCTAAAATGTCAAATGCCACATGTGATATGGACGAAGAAGTACATTTCCAGTGAACAGCACGTTACTGAATACACGAATAGGGATCTATGACTACATGAACTTGAGGGCTGCTGCTTCTAGTGCTCCTGCCAGTACCGGTTCCTAAGTATGTGCAAATGCCTGTGCTTACACCGGTACTGGCATTGCCCCTTGTATGTTTTCTGCTATGTTACCTGCAGAGATACAGGCCAACACAAGAAATTCATCGTACCTCAAATCCTTCACTAATATTTCCAGGTTACTCATTGGCGCATCACTATCCCCAATACACATACAAGAACTATCCTAAGAAACACTACATGTCCGATTGATTTCATGCAATATTATTTCAAACCGCACAAACAAACGCCAGTAGAGGCCATTAACAACACTGTCAAGGCAAAGACTCCGCGACGCCTTCAAAGTCCCCCCTAAAGCTTTGCGAGCCATGCGAAAGACTATAGAATACTTCATGCGGTCTATTATTCCCGCTTAAGGAGTCTTGTTATATCGATGAATAAGGATGTCAAAATTCATTTCTGTGCATCCCTGCGGACCAAGGACGGCCATTAAACAACGGATTGGACGTCTATATTGTAAAAAAGAGGCGATATGTAAGCACCAAAGTTAGAGCATAGAAGGCAGAAAAGTTTTTTTGTGTATCTTGTGTATCTATTCAAGTGCTTATTCTGAAAAGGGTATTCTTTTCATCCTCAGATTCGTAGTTGTTCCAAGGCCTCTGCTATTCCGCTGAAAATCGTTGCAGGGAGTGATTTTTCACCAGCAAACCTTGCACCGTGGTGAAAAGTTTTTTGGTGTGATGCACTACCATTCAGGAAATTCTCACCATCGGCAGCTTCTGTTATTGTGAACCAGGAATTTTGTATTAGGGTGCGCCACACCGCTAACTGTAACCACCAGTCCACCGTGCCAGTCAGGTTCACTGGTGAAAAAATCCTGAATTGAGTGCCACTAATAGACCGTACAAAAGATCAATATCGATTAGAGCCGCCAGAATCGATGTACTGCTGAAAATTCTGGGTTGTAGTGTATTACATTAAAAGAGGAAAAAAAAGCTTGCACCGTGATGCGATGTACATTATCCATTATAATAGTAACCCTTTGTATGCACCTATATCAAACCACGGATCAGTCGATATTTAGCCTTGCTCTGTCCTCGCTCAAGAGTACCATTGTGCTGCATCTCAAAAGTACACTTAAGGTAAATCGAACTAGGAAGAAAGTTGAAAGCGAAGAAGCCGCTGTCTAGGCATTTGGCTCCAAGGACAAACCATTAGGCTTTTAGAACTAGGCCATCCATTGTAGGCATGAAAAGATGGCACTCCTTGCCACGCCTTTATATAAAGTCTACAGGTTCGAGACGTTGTGGGCACGCTTTCCACCACCCAACCATATTAACCGTATTTGGGCCACCATTATTCGACAAAGATGGCAAGGTGACGTCGATTTCTCACTTTCGGGTGGTCTCGTTCCGTACAACTTAGAAACACAATTGGCTCCCTTTTCTCTTCTCTTCCATCTCTTCCTCATCTCTCTTTAAAATCCAAAGGTCCCTTCTCGCCGTGGATTGCCATCACCCACCACCATGTACCCCTTCGCAACATCTCGCGTCTCTCCAAGAGCGCCGCTGCCATCAAGACTGCCCCCAAGGCTTTCAACGCCGCCTTTTTAAAGAAGGGTAAGCGAATTCGATCCCTCTCTTCTCGCTTTTCTCTCTCGCGTCACTGTACATCCCATCCATACACGCAATATATTATTTCCACCAATACTCCTTCATCGTTTCCTTTATTCGTATTGTATTTTACGCATGTGTTTGATCAGTCCATTACTACAGAAGCAATTTGGATCGGGAGGGGCATATGGCTGTTCTAGATGATTTATCTGCAGTAACTTGATCGCGTTCTCTTTAGTACTGGTGCTTTCTTGTTCCACTGGAACTGATCAAGGACCTTTACTGGAAATGCTGAACATTATGAATGAGACAACGTCATCTAGGAGATCGTCTTAATCAAACATGGATTATTCATTCGGGATCAGACTAGTACTTGATCGTACTCGTTTGAATTCAGATCAGAACCTTCTTTCTGTGAGCGGCAACAGCAAATCTGACCCCGTTTGCACGATTCAAGGACAGGGCAACTGGATTTAAACATCATCGTCGTATGATTATGTTGTTCAGGATGCAGAGAATAAAGAAGAGTCGAGCTGCGTTACGAGTTTGCACAGGGATTAATCAACAGCAATATCCTTTCTGCATTAATGAAAGCATCAATCTCTTTTTCTCTTATCCTTCTCTCCAACCTGGTATTTATGACGATGGAGGTACTGACGACGCAACTCACTATTTCCTTATAATTGAATTAGCTGGCTACGCTTCTGAGGCAAAGTCCTCTGGTCAGATTCGCTCTGTCATTGGTGCCGTCGTCGACGTTCAGTTCGACCAGGGCAAGCTTCCCTCCATTCTTAATGCTCTTGAGGTCAAGAACTTGGATCGCCGTCTGGTTCTCGAGGTCGCTCAGCACTTGGGAGAAAACACTGTCCGTACCATTGCCATGGACGGTACTGAGGGTTTGGTCCGTGGCCAGCCCGTTGAGGATACCGGTGCTCCTATTACCATCCCTGTTGGTCCTGAGTGCTTGGGTCGTATTATCAACGTCATTGGTGAGCCTATTGATGAACGTGGTCCATCAACGCCAAGCAATCTGCTCCCATTCACTGCGAAGCTCCCGAGTTCGTTGACCAGTCCGTCGTCCCCGAAGTTCTCGTCACTGGTATCAAAGTCGTCGACTTGCTTGCCCCCTATGCTCGTGGTGGTAAGATTGGTCTCTTCGGAGGTGCTGGTGTCGGAAAGACTGTGTTCATTCAGGAGTTGATTAACAACATTGCCAAGCATCACGGAGGTTACTCTGTCTTCGCTGGTGTCGGAGAGCGCACTCGTGAGGGTAACGATTTGTACCACGAGATGATGGAGACCGGTGTCATCAAGCTGGACGGTGAGTCCAAGGCCGCTCTTGTGTTCGGTCAGATGAACGAGCCCCCAGGTGCCCGTGCCCGTGTTGCCTTGACTGGTTTGACCATTGCTGAGTACTTCCGTGACCAGGAGGGTCAGGATGTGTTGCTCTTCATTGATAACATTTTCCGTTTCACTCAGGCAGGTTCTGAGGTATCTGCCTTGTTGGGTCGTATTCCTTCCGCTGTCGGTTACCAGCCTACTCTTTCCACTGATATGGGAGGAATGCAGGAACGTATTACCACCACTAAGAAGGGTTCGATTACCTCTGTTCAAGCCGTCTATGTGCCCGCTGATGATTTGACCGATCCCGCTCCCGCTACTACCTTCGCTCACTTGGACGCTACCACTGTCTTGTCCCGTGGTATCTCTGAGTTGGGTATTTACCCTGCTGTCGACCCTCTCGACTCCAAGTCCCGTATGTTGGATCCTCGTATCGTCGGAGAGGAGCACTACGAGACTGCCTCCAAGACTCAGCAGATTCTCAGCCACAAGTCCTCCAGGATATTATTGCCATTTGGGTATGGACGAGTTGTCAGAGGAGGACAAATTGACTGTCGAGCGTGCTCTAAGATCCAGAATTCTTGTCCCACCCTTCACTGTTGCCCAGGTTTTCACTGGCTCTGAGGGTCTCTTGTTAAGCTCGAGGACACCATTCGCTCTTTTAAGGAGTCCTCGAGGTAAGCAACGACCACTTGCCGAGGCTGCCTTCTACATGGTTGGTGACATTGGATGCCACTGCCAAGGCTCCAAGATTGCTGCAGAATCTCTGGGCAACTAAAGACATTTTATTAAAGTACATTACTTTTTTAAAAAAAAAAAAAAGGACAACTGGTTACACTTTCACTCTACTCTCCTCTTGCCTCTCTCCATGCCTTTTCTTTGATTGATCAATTAAACCAAATTATTTTTACTATGCTGGTTTCTCAGTTCGTATGAAAAATCGATGGAATGCTTGCGATAAGATCTTGCTGTATGGTTTTTCTTATAAAAAAAAAGTAAAACTGGCCCTAAGCCATCAGCCATTCTATTTCACTTAACCATTCACTCTCATGAGCTTCACCAAAAGGAGAAACAACAATAGTCCGAGGACTCCTTTGAGGATAATTCTTCTAACACCTGTGGAAGATTTTTATTATTTTATGTAGACACAAAACTTAGTCGCTTGAAAAATTGATTTTATGGGTTGGAAGTGTAGCAGTGGCACCAATTTCGTTTGCTTTTCCCTCATACTCTCTGTTCACTACCTCTGTCCGATTTGGTTCGAGTACAATGGCTGTCGTTACTGATGGTATTTCTGCCTTTGCCGATTTCTTAAGCAACACCCATCTCTTAATCTTGTTATGCCATCGACTTCTTTGACCATCAATACCCTCACTTTCCTCCTTCTCGTCCATTATTGGGGAAGGACGGGTTTGATGTTTCTGGGGCTTCACGCGGTTTTTGAAGAAATGTCTTTTCGACTTTTGTTTCTGCGTCTGCATTTGCTGCTGGTCATCCGGAGCTGTTGTTGTTTTTTGTTTTCGTTTCTCTTGTCTTTTAAAGTGAGACTGAAGTCCTTTCTGTTGCTTTTTCATGGCTGCAACTGGGACAACATGGATTTTCTAGCCTCCCGGTCAGCTGCAGAGGCGACATCATGGTCCACTCCACCAGCAATCTTCTGGGACCTTATCCAGAGCCTTGCGAAAGAGATTGGCCCAAAAGTTTCCAGTAAAGGCTCCAGCAAAATATGAATGATCTCTAGTTTAGTTTCACACGGACTTTTTGTGCGTCGTGATGAAGTTTTGCTGTTGCTCCTGCTAGGCCGCCCATATCAGGGTTACTGCCATTACCTAGGGAACCGCTTGCCTGAGGTCTTATCTCCGTGGCTACAGAGGATGAAAAACAGCGATTGAGGCCTCTGGTGCCCTTCTCCTTTCTGGTTCATAAACTGGCATGATGACAACGTGTTTGAGAATTTGATGGTAATGCCGAAAAGTAGGCGACGACTCCATCAAAAACAGGAACGAAACGAGTTGAATTGCGGTGTGAAGGTGATTGTCAATTTATTGCTTGGGCGAGAGCTGCAGTGGGTCCTTGCGTCAAAACTGTCATTCCAAGTTTTTTGAATTGAAACCCTAACCATCGTCGAAAGAGGAGTCTAGACATAACATCTCTTCCCTCTGAATTCTCGCCTTCGCTTCGTTTTGGTTTACAGTCTGGAGCCGCTTTCATGCTTTCGCCTATAAGAAGCCTGTACAACGCGTATAACCCTCGATCGCACGCGATCATAAGTGCTTGCATTATATGAGCAATTTTGATATCTGCAAATGATTCAATCAGCCAATGAACTAGATAAGGTCATTTCGAGTGGTAGCCGCCATCAGGCGATGACTGCATTCTTGTTCTTACGCTGCATCATCACACTTGGCAAGTGCCACAGGCCTGAGGACGAGAGCATAGTCATTGCGGGTGGAAGTTTCGGTGTTGCGCAACTTTCTCTGGTGGTTTTTGCTTAGTTATGGTTTGGCTCCTAATTTCATCGTGGCAATGCTTTTGGTTCTGTTTTCCTTCTTGCTGATGCAGTTGCTTGGGAGGTTTGGCAGAAATGATGACAGCTTGTTCGCAGGGATATGTTCGTATTGAGGGAATAACAGGGCCCTGCACAGGAGGAGGCGACAGAATGAATGTGGATAAGACGACAGTTGTAGTTATGGATGATGCGATACCAATATTAGAGCAATTGATGCCGGACATCCCGTGTGATCCAGGCCTCGAGGCCCCAATATTGGAACTAACTTCAATCCCTCCTCTCGTATTATTGCTATTGCCCATCATTTGTATGGTATTACTATTGCCGACGATGGTCTACTTAGGTGTAACTGGCTGCTGTCGCTTCGGTGTCGACGGTGACCACGGTGGCGCGGGGCTGTTCTCCCAAGTTCCATCAATCGTAGCAGCCCTAGCCCTTCTTATACCTCTTTGAATATCATTGCCCGTGGCTATATAGCTGTTCTTAAAGCTGTTCACTTTGGGTTTGCTTATCTGTACAGAGGCCATTGCTGTGCATGGTCCCATTTCATAACGTTGCATGGTGAACATGCTCACTTGTCGTTGTCACTAGGATCAATATCCGCCTCCATTCACCATTTTCCATTAGTAGAATCTCAAGGCCGCGTTTCCATCCGACAGACGCTGCCACCTGCACAGCTCCTGATAGCGCGTCCTGAGCAATGAGTAAGCGGTGATCAAGCAATACTTTGAGTAGCAGCTCCTTTTGTTGGAAACATGTCTGGTATAGACAAATCCCACCGTCATCAAATCTATGTATTCTGATCTTAAGCACTCGCGTACGCGGTGTTCAGTATTTCATCAAGCGCTCTCTGATATATTGGACTACAGCTGCCGCTTGCCTGATGGGCTGACCGACATCAAGGCCCAAATAATTAATAGCGCTCGTTATTTGCTCAATTGATTCGCCGAGCTGTATAGGTGCCAAAACGAATTGCGAACGATCAGAAGGCGGTTGGGCTGAAGACGACGTCTTGCCAAACATGTAGGTGCCTCAGCAATGGCAGTTGATGTGAGGGTTGCGGATATTGGTTGTTCCTGCATCCACTTCTTGTTCCTGTTGCTCGCTGCTGCTGCCTGCGCTCTTTGCTACCTATTATGGTGTTGCTACCGCTGCCAAGATGGTGGATTTGGGGATAGTAAAACTGAAGCGGAGCTAGACCTACGCGCTTGCTTGCTTGATCTTGGAAAAAGAAAGTTTTCAACTACCCGAGCATAGTACTTTCGGTCAGCGGCATCGTACTGAGGCTCATGCCTCGCCCTATCTAACATCTTCAAGCCTTTTGCCTTCGAGCCTTGCTCACCTCCTACCCTCCTGCTGACACCTTCAAGCTTTCCACGCTAGAACATACAGAACTCGATTAATTGTCGATTCATTCTCTCTTGCTCTCGGAACTGTAGTGCCAGAGGTGGTGATCGTCTGATGTCGAGATCGCAGATGCTAAAGAACCGGAAACCCATTTTCAACAGGGCCTTGACGATATGCTCAGGTGCTTGGACTTGGATAGCAATCCCACAATACCTGGGCCAGGACGCGAGCTTGATGAGTACTGCTTCCAATGCTACCGAACGCCAGATTTGAATCCTGGTGTTAAATGGTTCAGCGTCAGGTTCTTCAAATCCACCATTTTCATAGTCCATCGGGTCTACTATTCTATTCATTTCAGCATGGCTGCGCCCATCACCCACAGAAACAACATAGTCTGTATCGATAGCTGGCTGCCAATGGCCCTCTGAACCAAATAGAGCGTCAGTTTCGATGGCGGAGGTACTCCGAAGGCCCTCTTCTTCTGAATGGCTATTAAAGGTTCTCCAGAGCCAGCTTCATAGTTGCCTGCATTTTCCACGGAGCTCGAGTGGCTGCTGCTATTGCCCCCGAACCCACGGAAGCCTCCCCGCGGAAGCATGTAGCTGTTAGTAAACCTGGTTCCACTTCCTGTAAATAACGTCCGACTAGCATTGTGTAACGTTGATGAGACATTATACGATGCCTGGCCAATACCCTGGCCATTGAAGTAACTTAATCGAGTACCAATACCACATATCCCAGCTTCACGACAGATCAACTCGCGTGCTTGTTGACGTCGATGGTCTTGTTGAAAATTACTTAAAAGGTGTCCTGAACCAGCGCGAGAATGATGGCGTACTCTAAATGCAGGTCCTTGTCCTTAGTCTCAAGATGTGAACTCTTGAAAGGACATAAATCTAAAACTACGCTGAGGTCATCGAATTCTTGGCGCTGCAGGTAATATTTAATCAACTTTAACCACTCACGAGGCCCAATTCTTTCCATCAGCAGATCCATCACACAAATACTGCCTTTGCCATCTCCTAAGTATTCCCTGGAGTCCAGACTTTTCTGTGAAGCTGGATTTGGCTGACTATTAGATGATGATGATGGCCCTCTTTGGTCGTACCGCTGCTTTCGTAAAAATTGCTGTCGCCGCTCCTGAGCCCTCTTCAGAGAGCCTGGTGATCGCGAGTAAGCAGCACCTAGTACTGCTTGTCCCAAGGCCTGGGCTGTAAGCATACAATCATACTTCAATATCTCGCTTACAATCGGAACAGCTCTGCTCTCCTCCAGCGCTTCTGCCTCCTCAGATCCATATCCATCTCGACGGAAGCAGATAGCTAGAAGAGCGCTTGTTAGGGCTCGGCCATCAACCCATGGCATATGCAGCTTCGACTCAGAGCGCCCTTGGTCTGATAGAGGGCTGTATTGCTCCAAGCTGCTATCGCTATCGACTCTTTGTCTGGATTGAAATATAGCTGAGCGGTAGGTGGGACCATAGGCTGTTGATAGACCAGAAGCTTCTGGGGGCATGGGCATAATTACTGGAACATTCTGTTCTATCGGTGCCGATGCAATGTCCTCAGCTATCACAGTCCGACTTCGTGAGTGAAGGGAAGAAGCTTGTTGCGAGACTGATGGTCCGGCGCCAACACCAGCAGCAAACATCATATCATCTTCTCCCAAGCGATGCGCGGCGGGCTCTACACTCATGGAATCATGTCGGTGGTCATGGTGAATCCAACCTTCATCATAACATGAGTGCCTTTGCTTCCCTTTATCGACTTTTGATGCTGCGCTATGCTCACGATCGGACTGCGCGCTCTTTAAGACATCCAAGGACGGTCGAGGGCTAATAAGTGTTGCGTCTAACACTTTAAACACTGCATCCAGGTCAGCTCTTGAGCATGACTCCATGAGTTCCTGATTACTGACCCGCA